GCACTTCTAGGCACCAAATGTTTTCCCCCACAGCAGACAATTCTGCTATTCCAGCTTGGTGCCCTACGAGTTAACTCAATTTTGATACTATCTAACTGGAGATAGCATCAGATCCCACAAGGTAAGGGCTGTCTCACAAGATTCCTCCCACCTTCTACTTCAGACACCAACTGCAAGTCTGGACTGTCACCTGTGCTTCTGCCCAACCTGCGACAGATCAGAGGTTCCCACAAACCCCTCAATTAGGTTCAATTAATTTGCCAATTCCCTGGCTCACAAAACTCAGGAAACATTTTACTTACTAAATTACCAGCTTATTATAAAAGGATATAACTCAGGAACAGCTAGATAGAGAGGCATAGGGCAAGGTGTGTGGGAAGGGGCATGGAACTTTCACGTTCTCTCCAGGCTTGCCACTCTCCCTGAATCCCCACGTGTTCACTAACTCAGAAGCTCTCTGAACCCCATCTTTTTTGTGTGTAATGGAGGCTTCATTACATAGGCATGATTGAGTAACTCATTGGACATTAGTGATTAATTCAACTTCCAGACTCTCTACCTTCCCCCAGAGGATAGGGGATGTGGCTAAAAATTCCCACCCTCTAATCAGATTGTTGGTTCCCCTGGCAACCAGCCCCCATCCTTAAGGGCTTCACAGAAGTCATCTCATTAACATAAACTCAGGTATGGTAGAAAGGGGCTTGTTATGAAAATCACTTAGGAAATTCCAAGGGTTTTAGGAACTCTGCCAGGGACAGAGATAAAGACTAAATATGTATTTATTATAAATCACGATGTTACAGTTAGTTGTAGAAACTCTCACCAACACTTGGTATTGTCAAACTTTTCTATTTTAGCTATTCTAGTGAGGGACAGATGGTATCTCATTGTCATTTTAATCTGCACTTTCATGCTGGCTGAGACACTGAGTATTTTTCATGTGCTTACTGGCCATTCATATATTTTCTCTTATTAAATGTCTGTTCAAATATTTTGCCCACTTTTTTGAACTATTTTTTTCTAATTTAATGCAAGAATTCTTTACACATTCTGGATACAAGCCTTTTATCTGGTAAATGTGTTGCAAATCTATCTTTCCGGCCTATGGTTTGCCTTCCATTTCCTAAGGGAAATCTTCTAAAGAGTAGAATCTTTATAAAAAGTCCAATTTGGTAATATTTTGTTATGGTTCATGTGTTCTGTTTGCTAAACATCGGGAATTTGTAACTTTTTGTCTTTTATCAGATATGGAAAGCTGTTGGCTATAATTTCTTCGGCTGCTTTTCTGCTCATTTTTTCTTTCCTTTTTGAGTCTCATATCGGATGTACATTAGACCCTCTGACATTGTCCCACAGGTCCCTGAAGCTTTAATTGTTTTCCATTCCTTTTCTCTTTGTCTTTTTTTTGAATAATTTCTCTTCATTTATCTTTATGTTCACTGATTCGTTCCCTCTCACATCTCCATTTTGCTATTAAGCCCATCTAGGGAATTTTAAATTTTCATATGCTGTGTTTTTTTCAGTTCTGAAATTTCCATTTGATTATTTTTATACGTCCTATTTATTAGATGTCTTCTCCCCACATTCATTTCAAACATATTTTTTTATTAATAGCTGCTTCACTACCCTAGCGTGATAATTCCAACATCTGAGACATCTTAATATTGTCTTTTCCCTTGAGAGCGACTCGTTTTTTTTTCTTTTTTTTTTTTTTGGTTGTATACCAACTGATTCTGGAGAGTATCCTGGGCATTGTACACATTATGTTGTGGAGAATCGGGATTCTGTTATATCCCTAAATGGTGAGGGTTTTGCTTGAGCGGGCAATTAACTCGACTAGATTCAGACTGTGAGTTGTCTCTCGCTTGCTCTGGACAGTAGTTCAAATCTCAGTTTGATTCCTTAGCTTCTGCTGCTGTGTCTGTTCTGTTCACACATAGAGGTAAGCCAGAGATCTGCGGGAAGGTCACCTACATCTCCGGCTCTCCCCCTGTGGGATTCCTTACTCTCCAGTGACTTGAGCTTTAACAGATGGTGGACTTTGGGGTAAAAATTTTGTCCACCGCTGATGTGCTGCTCTACAACTATGGTTTGTTCACAGGGCAAAGTGTGTGTGTGGTTAGGCGGGGAGTTTTGAGTTCCCTGCTTCTCTCCAAATCACCAGGCAGTGGTTTAGAGTTTGCAGATATCTGTAGGAGAGCTGGTCTGTGGGGACTTAACCCACTAAACGCCAAGCGAAGCCAATTCCTTTTCCTGTTTGCTCAGGGCGTACCAGTGTGGACTTTAAGAAAACGACCCCCTGCACTCCTTCTGTGGCTTCCATCCTTCTCTTCCTTCGCTGAAACGAAGATGTTCTCTAAAGGTCTATTTTAACGTTCTGTCCTTAGGTCTCTTCTAGTGCTGCTAAATTTTCTCAGGAATCTCATTCATTCACATAACCTCTGCAGGCAGCACTTCCAAGATGCATCTTTCACTTTCTTCTGAGTTTCATACTTGTATTTCCAGCCATCTCCTTTACATCTTCCCATGGAACCGTTAGGCTAGAATCCGTCCCTTCTCTGGGTTCACCTGCTGTGTATTCGTTCAGGGAGCTGGGCTTAGAATTACTAAGAGCCAAGGACACTTGTCTCATTACCTCCAATTTCTTCACTGTGAGGGGAGAACCAAAAATGACGGCAAGGCTGTTACTTACTGACTGGCTGACAATACCTAACCTTGAGGACAATCCCAAAAGAACTGCCACGAGGCTTAGGAATATGGCCTTCTTTCCTTCCTCCCCTGCACTGTCAGTGTTGATAACTAGCATTGCTACATATCATGACTCACTTTACTTATTCCACATTCATTGCCAGCTATTCGCTGAACAGCTACCCTGTGCCCCAGACACAATTCTAAGCATTAGGAAGAGATGAGCAGGACAAGGCCCCTGGTGTTCTGGAGCTTGCATTCTGGTGGGGGATACACGGCAAGAGCACGAAACAAGCAGATTTCTTCGTAATGTGCCGTGAGGGACATAAGTGAGTGGAGGTGACGCCTGGGGATGGGGAACATGACCACAGACAGAATGGTGAGGAAGGGCCTCTCTGAGGAGTGACTTTTAAGCGGAAGTCAAAACGATAGATAACAAGAAGCTAATTCCCATCAGAGCAGACACCAAGTGCAAAGGGCAGTGGGATGGTCAACTCAAGGGCAAGGCCATACAGACGAGGCTGGCAGGTGGGTATGGGGCAGAGCGCGGGGCCTGGGCAGTCTCAGGAATGGGGAGTCTGGACTATATTCCAGATGAGGTGCCAAGTTACTTTAATGAAAATTACTTTTCGAAGACAAGTATCAGAATAGAATGAAAGGTATCTTGTAATTATTCATATTCGATCAACTCTATTCACATAGATAAAACCTAAAGGAAAAATTCAATCTATATATATGTGTTTACAGTCACTTATGTTAAAAAAATTTGGAAATAAAAATCCATTAGAGGAAAAAGAATTTAGTCAGTAAAATGTTCTCTAGAAAGATGCTATAAGTCATTATTCCTAGAAAAGAATTATAGACATATATGTCTATATGATATATATGTCTATATCCATCCAATGGCATGACAGTATTCTTCGAAGTTATAAAAAAAATCAATATTACCTGTCAAGTACTATCTTTTGCATGTACAACCAAAACTGCTAAGGTTACCTGAACAAGAAATCCCTGGTGTCTATTACACAAAGCTTTTAATAGGACTTGCCTTGACAATTTCCTCCTAAATCATCTTTTCCTCCCTGAGCTCAATACATTATCGCTACTTAATTTCATGACTACACAAAGCTGTTTTAGGCACTACTTGGGGAATAAGTTTTAAGAGTTCAAGTAAATGCAAATGATGTTTTTGCTACCTTTTCTCAAAAGATTTCACATTAGAATAGAGATTATAACATTAAACTATTATATGTGTTTAGTTTCTACAGTTATATATATATCTCAGTATCTTATGCAGGAACAAAAGACAAATGGTCGTGTTTGCCTTGTAATTCTCTATCAGAGACTGACAACCTCACAATGCTGAAAAGCACAAGCTATTATGAAATGCTCTGAGTGCTGTCTCTGTAACGTTTACTAGACTTTCTTCCTTCCGTTCTCTAACCTCAGGAGAAGCATGACTGAAGACTAGAGATAAACTTACTTATTGTAAAATGTGAATGCAGTTAGATGATCATCTCCCCTCCCCTCTTCTTTACAACCCAATTTCAGATCATTTTACATAACCTTTCCCGTTGGCAGCCCCTCGCCTGGAGAGAGTTTCAGGGTTCCTACTCTCCGGGGTGGAAGCGATAAACACGGATTGCAGCATCACCTGACAAAGCATTTGCTGTATTTACCACGTGGGCAGAGCTGTGCCCTGCGGCCCATCACAGTTCGATTCTGTTTCGCAATCTCCTCCTGTGGAAATCTCTGTCTAGAACAACCTGCTCTGCTCCTTAAATGGGCTCTGCCAGCCTGAACCTGATGCAATCGGAGAAGGGTTCTGGGCCCTGCCTAAGCATTTCAAACTCCCGGATGAAGTCCCAGGGCCGCCAGTTAACACTGGGTTCTTGCCCAGGAAAGACGGTCAAAGGTGCTGCATACTGCAGTGTGGCCATGGGCTGAGCTGACACGAACCTCTCACTCGTGATCAACTTTATCCAGAAAAGAGAAGGTAGTATTAAGGAGCACGGACTTGACAGCTGGACTGCTTGCATCTTGATCCTTCCCTCCCCACTGATGAGCTGCATGACCTTGGCCAACAGCCCCACCTCCCTCAGCCAAAGCACTGAAAACAGTACTCAGCACATAATAAAAACTCAACACCATA